GTTTCTAAAGCAATTAAAGCCACAGCTTTACTGTTAATAGAGAAACACGGCAAGTGGTAATTCATACATACACAGCCTCTCTCTCTCTCTCTCTCTCTGTGTTGTAAATGAACAGTTGATGAATCACACTTTTCTGAGAATAGATTATTGAAGTGGAGATCGCTAAACTGCTAACCACTGTTTTCAGAAAGCAAGCGCTTTTATCCACAGTGGAGAGAGAGCGTGTGCGCACATGGTTGCCAGGTTCACAAAGATAAGTAGCACACTTAGCAGATATTTCTGTATTGCGCAAGTGTAAAGCTCTGTTTTGGGGATTACGTCTCTTTATATCAGGCAACTCAGTTGTGTTCCTCTGCGGCCAGATTAAACCTTGTTGTAGCCTATATATGCTCTATTCATTCTTTTTTAGAAACCTTGCACTTTTCTACTCAATTTTAAACGTAAAATTTGTAACAAATTAAGCGCGGTCCACTGCTGCACACGTGCTACAATATCGATACAGGGCCAGCTGTATCGATACTCGTATCGTCAAATATCTGTGACGATACATCGTCGTATCGATATTTTGAACACAGCACTAATACATACGGAACAAAATAATATTGTTGTGTAACACATTGTTTCTTTTAATACTGTTTTAGTCCCATTTATTACAAAGCAACCTGTAAATGATTTCTGAATAACCTACACGCTGTTATGAAAAAAGCAGCCAGTAATTAGGGTAATTTAAGTCACACAGTCTAAGTACGTATGGTAAACACTTTCGGTTCGTTGTAAGTTGAACATGAATGGAAGTAACGATTTGCGGTTTACTCATTCAGTCAGATGTTTATTCAAAAACTACTGATTCAGTGGAAGGTTCATTAGAATACTCTAAACCGATGATTCTGGAGTCTCTCTGACTGATTCATTATGAGAATCAACTCAGTCACTTGTATGTTTGTACGTTTTATGCCAGCAAAGTCAATGCAATTGAAAGATGTATATGTCTGTTTATTGTCTTTCTTTTATTTCACAGTATCTGGCTCTTTTTAACTCGTCACATTCGATTCAGACTGCAAGCTTATAATGTATAAATATAATTTCTTTTGCTTTGGTGCTTTAGATTCAGCAGCGGTGCAGAATCGCAGGCTCCGTGGCATTACATAAGCTGATGTTGAGATGCTCTGTTTTTCAATTGTAGAAGAAATGCCTTGAGTAGATTGTCTGCCTCATAATAGAAGCTGCGAGCAGTGTAAAAGTCTGTGTTTATTGTCCCTGCAGTCAAATATCTGCCATTTTTCCACTGACTGGAAGATTTACAACAGAACCCTAAGATATTTATATGAGCTGATTGTTTGGTTATAAACCTATATTGGTTTGTTTGTTGTTGGTGTACTGTCCTGTGGGTGGAGTTCAGTTCTTGCTTCTGTGGATATTTGTATAAATAAATAAATATTTAAATCAAAATAAAGTTTAAAATAAGTTTATTTTAATGTTTTAAAAAGTATTTTTTTTTTTTCTTTGACATCTGATTTTTCGGTCTTTTTCAGTCTTCAGTGTCATATGATTCTTTATAAATATTTATAATTTTATGATTTTTATATGATAATTTGGGGGAATTTATTCAAAAGAGATTTATTTTGTAGCATAAATGTCACTTTTTTTTGTGCAATGTCTTGCTGAATAAATGTATTAATTTCTTTAAAAAAAAATGGTCTTACTGGCACTGAACTTTTCCACAAGTAGATCTGTAAAAAACTGGCAGTATAAACTATACATTTATATTTATATTAACGATTTATATAATTTGAACATTTTATAAAACATGTTGTATAAATAAAATATAGACTGGTGCCTACACTTTTTTTTAATTTTTTTTTTAATCGCAATTAAAGTTATTCTTTACTGATGTATTTCACTGTGCGCCTGCAGGGAGGAAGAGGAGAGCCTTCGTGACAAGATCCGGGCAGATCATGAGCGGGCACTGCAGGAAGCCAAGGAAAAGCTCCGTAAATCCAAAGAGGAGCTGAAGGCAGAGATCCAGACAGAGAAGACCAAGGTAGTCGAGGACCTGAAGAAGAAAGATGGACCCAAACCACTGCCTCCAGTACCTATGCCCAAACTAGTAGGGGTCAACGATGGTGACCCAGGGGACCCTGACACCAAGGAAAAAAGGGACAAAATCAGAGAGGTGAGGTGTGTGTGTGTGTGTGTGTGTGTTTTAGTGTTGTCAAAAGACCCGGCATTTCGGTACCAAGTCGGTACTAAAAAAAAATGAAAACGTTACGGTACCAGGTTTTCTTAAGTACCGGTGGTACCAAGTACCCGGTCAACCCGGTTCTTGATGCGCTATCTGAAAGCTATCCTCTTCATAAAAGCACTGAGATATGGCGACCTTAAAAGGAGGAAACACATCAAACTAACAAAACACTTTAAAGACCGACACCCGGATCAAATGAAAGAGTTCAAGCAGGTAAGTTTAATTGATTTTTTAATATTTTTTAATATTTAGAGCTGCTGTTATGAATATTATTCCATATTTTAATTTGAATGTAGAATTGAAATAAACATCACCGTTAGCGTAGTTCATCGTTAGGATAAGCGCGGCTAATGCTAATATATTGAGCATTAGAATTAAGTTTCTTTGTTAACTATTTAATGCTCCTATAACTTTTATTAGTGTAAAACACAGGAGGACATAATGGTATTGCGATAATAATAATAATAATAATATAAAAATTCGGAGCAATTTATATCACCTATTTCAAAACATTGTAGTAAACAATAGTATTTAACTAAAAATGTATTTTTCTTATAAACGATTCCGCGAAGGGACTTTAGAATGGATGCCTAAATGGTGAATCAGTTTGAACCGGATCATTGACATAAGCTGTCCGAACGAACCGATTCTATAAAATGATTCGGTTAAATCACATGATCCGCTGCACAGCCAGCCATCACGTGACTCCTCAAGCAATAGTATTGGACATAATAGTATTTACTATTTTTACACACCAGAGACTTTTAAATAACTGTGTATCCAAAACATGCATGTAAGAGAATGTATGGTTAACAGTGTTTGTCATATCAGTCCATCAGAAAAACAGCTCTGGGCTTCATTTTTATTTTTTTTTTTTAGTTGGTTGGTTAGTTGTTATTCTTGGCTGGATAACTCTAGCAGGTTTTAAAAGCCCTTTAAAATGAAATACGAACACAATTTGAATTAAATAATACTAAAAGTACAGTCAAATTGTATCTCCTGTGTAGACTTTACAATGACTTATGTTATGTTATACTACATGTTATGACATGTTATTATCTAACATCAACTTACAGTGAGTGAACAATATATTTTTACAACATTAATGTTGTTTGTGAATGTTATTTAATACAAACACTTGATCATTCATGTTTGTTCATTGCGCATTAAATAATTTTAACAGCTTGAACTTGTGATTTATGTATTAGTAAATTTTCAAATTAACCCTAAGAAGAACAATTGCAATAACTATTGTTTATTGTTAGGTCATTTTATCTAACAAATGGAATCTTATTGTAAAGTGTTTTTAATACTACAGTTTCCATCTATTGGATATGCACTTAATATATGTAATCTTATCTAAATTTATTATAAAAGCTAAGGTTTGTTATTTACTGAAATTTAAATGTATTTACTGTTATTTTAGCTGGTGTCAATGATCTAATGTTGCATTTGGTCAGACTCAGCCCGTTGCTTTACTTAAGTATATTATATTTTCCTTTTACAGCTGCAGGCTGAGGAAGTTCATGAAACACCCCAGCAAACTCTAAAACAGAAAACAGTTGTTTTTCAGTGGCAGCAGAAATACTTTTATTACTTGTGGACATTGAAACACAATTTTAAATAAGTTTAAAGAATGGCATTGGTTTTGTACATTTTATTTTTGTTTAATGTTTTTAATAAAAAAATAATGTTGTTCAATTAGCATGTTTTTTGTGTTTTGCTTTGGTACCGAAATTGGTACAGAGAACCATGGATTTTCACTGGTATTGGTACCAAATACTGAAATTTTGGTACCGTGACAACACTAACCTGCACATTAGCATCCCAACAGTAAAGTGTGGCAGTAGCAGCCTCATGCTGTGGGGCCGTTTTTCAGCGCTAGTGTGTGTTTAGTTTACATGCTTTGAACTTGCAAGCACTCTATATCTTCTAATGTTTGCAACACCTGCAGATGTATTCTCTCTGTCATTGTTTTTCTTCTCTCTCACTTAATTACTTCACATTCCTTTTTAAATTGAACAGTTTTGGCCCATTTAATCTGTAGCATTTTGAATCAAACCATGCTCTCCACAGGTATAATTATCATCTTTTGAAAATGGGTTGCAATCTTGGATAAGAATAATTCTGAGAGTTATAGCCACTGGCTGATTTGCGCTTGACTGGAACAGACTGTTTTAAAACGCTCTTACGGATTTCTACTGATGTAATGTAGCGTTTGATTTTCACTCTTCCAGATGTAGGCTACCACAAAATTTGTCCTACTGTGTGAGATGTGTTGGAAAATGTCTATTTATTCAATAGTTTATTAAAGCATTACTGTTCCAGTTCTCATACTCAGGGTTTGGGATTTCTCGCACTGTTCTTGTTACTAACACAGATGATATTCAAATCTAGTTGACTTTTTATATTGATCAAGTTTAATGTGTTTTAGTTGGCGGTGACACTTTAAGACCTCTTACATAAAGCTCAACAGCCTGTGGGCTGCAGATGATGAGTCAGCACTGCTTGCAGTAAATGCCATTATTTTCACTTTCAAATTGCTGCTTGTCTCAAATGAGCTCCTAAACCTGGAAATAAATGTTTTTCTTTTGTTTTAGTACTTGGGAGAATGATCATTTTGTCCCCACATAAGTGTGTGTTGGTAGTAATGCTTGGTGTTCCAAGAGTAATTGGTGTCTTTGAGTGTAAAACTGAGATGATTGTTGCAGTAGAGCTTTTCAGCTAAACTCTGGTTAGCATCACCCTGGTTCTCTTGACAAGAACCCAATACGATTTTCTATTGGCTTTTGGATTAGTGCAGAAAATAAACTCTGCGACCAAAAAAATGTATAATCCTTACACACTTTGTTCATCATAATCTTCACAAATGAACACAACATTTATGAATTTTGAAGTCTAAATACAGTCGGCAGCAAGTAAAAGTCTAAACATAGGCTATAAACAAACTAAACCACAATTGCAGAACTCTTTCAGTTAAAGACTGTTATAATAATTTACAAGAGCGTGATTATAAACACAATGAAGCTGTAAAAGTGGACTATTGTAGTGGTCGACCGATAATGTTTTTTTGACAGCCGATGCCGATATCTTGGAAAGCAGGGTGGCCGATTGCCGATATAATTTTATTTATTTTAATTCATATTTAAGAAATTTTAAATAATTTGAAAATGGATAAAAAAATAAATGTGTAAAATAAACATACTTAAACATTAAATGACAAAGTATTTTTCACAAAGAAATAAATATTGAATAAAAATATAATTAAAAAGGAAGTTAACACTGTAACCAACAGGGCACTCAGTAATCTGGGAAGTTTGTGTGCATTGGGATTTGGGAATCATATTTTTTCAAATAAAGCAAAAATAACACTCATTTTACATACCGCACACAGTGAAAATTACATGAATATGACATTGGGCAAAAGCATGAAGCGCAGCATAATTTGAAATTATGAGTTTAAAGTTAGTCAATCACGCTTCTCAATGAAGCAGAACTCTCCTGTCAGCATTCAATTCGCACGGACCGAAAGTCACGCAGAGAACACGCGATTATGCAGGATACAAATGCACACTTCACAAGATCTCACAGCTGGATTTGACTAAGTTTGCAAGATTTTTGAAATTAAATGTTCATTAGTCATTCAAAGATTTGTTTAAATGATATAAATGCGTATTTGCTGAATGCTGACGGAAAATGAGAAAGTATTGTAATGTTTGCCTTTCTATTACTAATAATATAAAAGCAATCATTATAATACTTTTTGTATACATTTTAATTTCTTTGTTTAACAGTTCTTTCTGATTATTAGACAGAACTGTTAACGACGTCAGCGAACAAAGAGTATGTGAACACTGTGTGCGCAGGCGCTGCCATTCTCATCGCCGTCAAAATAAAAGTCCCGCCTCGAACGCATCGGCCAAACAGAAAAACTTATCTGCCGATATTTGAAAAATGGCAAATATCGGCTGATATATCGGTCGACCACTACTATTAAATAGCCACTCACTCTGTAGCCACTTGTTAGCAATCACCAACCAGTTTGTCTAGTTCAGTGATGGGCAAACTTGGCCCTTCTGGGCCACTTTCCTGCAGAGATTTGATCCAACCCTGATAAAACTCACCTGCCTGTAGCTTTCTATTAGTCTTGAAGACAATGATTAGCTGGTGCAGGTGTGTTTGATTAGAGTTGGAGCTAAACTCTGAAGGAAAGTGACCTGGAAGGGCCAAGTTTGCCCACCCCGGTCTAGTTTGATTAAATTTGCAAAATTGATTCTTTATTTTTTTATTTTTGTAAAGCTTCTTAGAAACAATTTGTAGTGTATAAAGCGATACATAAGTAAACGTGGCTAGTAGTAGTAAAAATAAATAACCCAGGGTTTACAAATGTAGCCTAGTCTAAAAACATGACTACCTTTGATTAGTTATGAACCCAGGGTATTGTGTGAACATTGTGGTACATGTGGAACATGGAATAAGACCGTTTACCCAGGGTTAAAGTCACCATGAAATCAAAATTGAAAATTCTTATTTTTTAATGGAATACTGTAGTGTTTATTAAATAATTTATCCGTGCTCTTCATTATTTTTTTTAAATTCATGTGCCCTCGTAATCTTTAATCAGAAACGTTAACCTCCCCTCCCCCTCAAAACGACTCATCTTCTCTTCCGGTCATGAGCTATGGAGCAAGGGCGGAGCTAGTGACGTGAGGGGTTAACGCTGGGATAAACAACAGGGGGAAAAACTGAAGCTGATGCTTCACTTTATAGAAATCAATGCATTGACCAGTGCTGACGCAAGCCATGGGGGAGTACACTACCCTTAAAAATTGAAAGGATATTAGGATATTACCACAACATTACTCTTAGGACAGCGTAAACTATTTTTTTTATGAATATGACTTAACCTTGATGGAGGACGCGCTCGGTCA